TCAAGTCTCCCATCCAAGTCTTGGCTAAATGTGGCACTGATTCCTTGTGGCATCCAACAGAAAGGCCATAGAAGATACAGATTGTAATATGCTATTTGTTCATTTTTAAGATGCTAAAGACAATGCAGGAATCAATCCTACTGTATACGGAAAAGCATGACAAATCAGCAGTTAATATCATAACTGCATCGTGCCTGAGCTCTCTTGCCTCAAGTTTGCACTTTTTATATACTGTAAAGCAGGGGCAGGTGATTATTTTGGACGGAGGGCCGCTTACTGAGTTTTGACAAGCCATCAAGGGCTGCATGACAGGCAGCCAGGGGAAGATAAATGTTAATTTTCTAAATTTTTTAGGGGCCCCATGGGCCAGATAGAACAACCTGGCAGGCTGCATCCAGCCTACAGGCCGCATTTCGCCCACCCCTGCCATAAAGGAAAATATATTTGGGGATTTTTCTGCTTTAGAGTTATTACAGTTTGAACTTTGACAGCGATTTGGAATTTTAACTCTCTTATTCACACAAGTAACAATGTTACTTCCCCTGGTTCCCTGTGAAATGACAACAGGGGCAGCTTGAGAGTAAGATTTTTAGCAACATTATATTCATTCTTAGGGAACCCATTCTAGTTCAAACTTCTCAGCTTTATAAAATCACCTAATGGATGCAAGTACAGAACACTGCAATTTGCAGGGGAAGTGTGCTACACGGTGGCTCCTTTAATCTTGGAAGTTTCCCTTGCATGCCCCACTACTGCTCACCACTTGTTCCTAATGGCCAGAAAGCAAAAACTGTAGTTTTAAATAAGCCATGGTTATTGCCACCCATCGTGATTGGCAGGGGGGTGAGTGAGACTGGGGGGGAAGGGGGGCAGCATGCAAGGGAAACTACAGGATTAAAGGGAGCTGGTGCGCAGTGTACTTCCAGCACAAATTCCAATGGTCCCTAAATACAAGTCCTCAGAATTACAGTAAGAAAACAAATCATTTTTTTCAATGACTCTTCAGACAGAAAAGCATCCACCACAACAGCAGCAAATAAACAACGATCTTCCCCATACCATAGCAAATTAAAAATAAGTTTGCCAGATCGTCCTTTTCCATTTCTCAAACCCTGGAGTACTACATCTGGTTCTGGGCTCCACAATTCAAAAAGGATGTAGAAAACCTTGAGAGTCCAGAGGAGAGCCACACGCACAATCAGCGGACAAGACAACAGGCTTTACGAAGAGAGGCTGAGAGCCATGGGACTTCAGCCTGGAAAAGCACAGGCTCAGGGGTGACCTGGTGGCAGCCTAAAAGTATATAAGGGGTGTGCATCAGGATCTGGGGGAATGCCTGTTCAGAGCGCCCCACAGGACAACAAGTTCCAACGGTAACAAACTCCTCCAATTTAAGGCTGGACATAAGGAAAAACTTCTTCACTGTCCAAGCCCCCAAAGCCTGGAATAGACTCCCTTCAGAGGTGGTGCAAGCACCTACTCTGGACTCTTTAAGAAATGTCCGGATGCTTGTCTTGCTGGGATCCTTTGACCCCAACTGACTTCCTGCCCTTGGGGCAGGGGGCTGGACTCAATGATTTTCTGAGGTTCCTTCCAGCCCTAATATCTATAAAATGTCTAAGAAATAAACAGCTGGATCTTCCTTTCCTAGTTGTGTCTGATCTGCAGAACCTCTCACTTCCAGGAAGTTATCAAGCCCAAGGATGTTAATTCATGTCCAAATAGATCTAGCATTCTACTAATGCTGTCTACACTAACTGTTCCACAAGTTCCTATGCTGTGATGGCTTCTCAGTCAGAATACTTGGAAATGTTGATCCCTGGGAATGTTAGGGCCAACCATTCTGCCTGGGTGGCAGCAAATATTCAACTCCAGATTGCTTTGTGTCAGTTGCAACTAATGGTCCATTTGCCTTTCAAACCTTCCTTTCAACAACAGTTTCAGAGTAAATTGAAGACAATGATTTCCTTGTGGAAAAAGAAACATTCTTTTGGAAAGTTTAGAAAACAAAATAAATTTTCCATTATTCATGTAAACTTTACTAACAGATTTCACTCCTGTTACAGACAGGCCACTGACACTAACTGCAGTCCTGGGCAGTTCACTCTCATGCTTAATCTGCAGAGAAGTCTAGGATAAAATTCAGAGATACAACTTAGCCCCTCACATTAACTCCTTTTGGGCTATTTCCCTCCAGTCTTACTTGTAAGGGAAAATAATGCAATAGGTAGCTTTAGTCATCCACCAAGGACCTGGAGAAGACAGCACAAATTATACTGCTAAGCTTTCCGCAACAGAAACAAGTAGGCCTAAAGGAAGTCACTTGCATATTCCCTTTCAATCTGGAAAATAGCTTCACATGGAAGACGACAGCTGGAGGAAGTGGCAGCACCTTTCCCACAAAAATGACATGCTACGGTGAGAAACAGAAACATCAACATCTCTCTCCCCCTTCTTTGGCCTCCCAAATTTTCAAGCACCACCACCAAGGGAAGTTCAATGACCTCACTCTGGCCTAACTGGGGGACACGCACACAGATTCTCAGAGCATTATCAACTCATCTTTGAAGGGCATATCTTAAAGTTTTCACTAGCAGATATCCTGAACATTTTGCAAATGTTCAGTGTTTCATTAAGTTATGTTTCAGAGCACAGCTGTCCAACTTCTAAGCAGACAGGGGCCACAGCACACAGGCTGCATACCCACTGCACCCTACATGAAGGTGCATCATGCAGATGGTGGCTCTGTCCCAGGTTGGGGGTTACCTCCTGCCTGGTCCTGCCAATCATCTGATCATTAGGACCAGGTATGAGAAGGGGACAGGATGTGGGGGAAGCTAGGTGGCAGCACCAGCTGAGGTCCAACTCCCTTGGCCATGTCCAGTCCAGCTTTTTGGCTACAGCCAGCCCACCCCCCACCCTCCGCCATGGTGCTGCTAGAGTTTGGGTTCTTGTCTGTGCTCCAAGAGCTCACGTGAGAAATCCTGCCCTGAGGGCTAGAACGTGGCAAAGAGCCGGAGTCCTGAATGCTGCACCCTGGGAAAAGCCCTGGTCCTGGAGGGCAGGGAAGCAGCAAGTAGAACTGTTCCCACCCTGCAAGGATGCCCAGAAACAATCCTGGTTCTTGCAAGATGGGTGGCAACTCTGATCACTGTCTTTGCCCCCTGACCCTACAGGACACATGGGACAGCCTCAGTTGGGTGGGAGGGTTGAAGAGGTTTCCTGCAAGTAGCGGCACGGAGCTCTGCACCCAGTCAGCTCCTGTTACCACTTGCAGAGACCTTCCTTGCCCCTACCCCCCTATAAGCAGTCCCAACAAGGGTCACTTACTGGCTGTGCTGTACACATTGCCATTTGCAACCAGAGTGGTAATGGAGGCAGGGTAACACCAGCAAGCAGGAGCAGCTTCCAGGATTGCTTGCTGCAGAGTGTCCCACAGGGCAGGGAAAATTGTTTAAGAAGGAACCTGGAACAACCAGAAACCTGCCAAGTTTCTGTATAAGTCAGAAACTGTCAAATTCAGAGGACAAAAGAATAAATACATTTTAAAATTCCCAATAAGGCATGTTGGGACTATGTAGATTTTCCAGCTTGGAAGCTATAAAAGCCAGAAACCTGCTCATCTTAAAGAGGTCCTATGAAGGACTGGTGAATTTTCTGGGGGAAAAAAAAAAAATGGTGTTTTACTGAATGATACCAACTGACAAAGACAGAAATAGTTTGTTATAAAAGGCTTCCTTTGACAAATCCTGTAAAGAGTTCTGAAACTTTTAAAGAGTCTTTTTTCAGTATTTCTAGTATGAAAAAAGTATTTTTCAAGTTCAAGAAAAAAAAGTTTCAAAACACTTGCAGAATGAGAGGATCATTTCCTGCCCACCTCTGCTTTGATGTTAGTTCTATGGATCTATAACAGGGGTGGGCAAAATATGGCCCAAGGGGGCCCCTAAAAAAAAAAACACAGAAAATTAACATTTCTCTGCCCTTGGTTCCTGTCAAAAGTGAAGGGTGGCGGTACCCCGGGCAGGGAAGGAGCGCAAAGTGAGGAGAAGCGGCCCCTTCCCTGCCCTGTGGCCGGCACCCTGTGGCGCAGGCAGCCCTGTGCAGACTGCGAGCAGCTGCAGCAGGGAGTGCCGGCCATGGGGCAGGGGAGGGGCCGCACTTCCTTCTGCACTCAGCTTTTCCCTAGGCTCCTTCCCTGTGCGGAGAAAAATGGCTCCTCACCCATCCCATGGCCGGCACTCCCTGCTGCAGGTGCTTGCAGCGCTACCTCCACGCTCAGCACCACCTTGTAACCCGGTCCTACTGTCAGGCTGGCAGTGGGGCCAGGTTACAAGCTGGTGCTGAGCACGGGGAAGAGCGGCCCCTCGCTCCCTGTGTGGCCAGTGCTCCGCACTGCAGCCACTTGCAGCCTGCGTAGGGCTGCCTGTGCCTGCTCCAGACAGCCCCGCATGGGCTGCGAGCACCTGCAGCAGGGAACGCCAGCCATGGGGTAGGTGAGTAGCTGCTTTTTCCTGCACTCAGCACCAGCTTCTTCCCTGCTGGCAAGTAGGGGGGCAGGGCTGTGCGCTGCCCCCCTGCCTGTACCACCAAGCTGGGGGGCACTGTGAGTGAGTGGGCAGGGAGCCAGCAGGAGCATGGGGCCAGCACTGGTGCCCTGGGGTCAGTGCCATCTTGGCCCAAAGCAGGGTGGCACAAGCGCAGGGTCCCAGCTGGCAGGAGCTCTATGGAGCCGGGCCAGCTCCCTCCTCTCCCTGTTGATGCAGCCCAGCCTGGCTCTACAGACCCCTGCCAGCCTGTGCCCCACTTTAGGCCCCACCACTGCTGGCCCTGGGACATTGGTCCCAAGACGGTGACCAGGGGGCACAGCACCTGTCAAGGGGTGGGGCTACCCATGTGGCCCTCCACAGCCTGCCCAAACTGGGTAAGCAGCCCTCCACCCAAAATAATTGCCCGCCCCGATCTATAAGGAAGATGCAACCAGTCAAATACCCGGCGCTTACCTTCAGCTTGTCCCGTCTTGGCAAGCAGCGATCCCAATTCCAGGATGCTCTGCTCTTTGACTTGTACTGCTTCCTCGTCATTTTCCTGGACATCACGCTTCACTAGAAGAAAGTGGAACAACTGCCTTTAACACCATTTCAGATCAGAGAGAATTCTCAACATATGTTGTTAAGTTTTTGCACTTTTTCTGAAATCTAACAAATGCGACAGATAACGGTGGAATCAATACAGTCTCCAAGATGTAGAGAGCAGATTCTAAAATTTAGAATTTAAGATACTTATGCAACAGAAGTCTATAGAGTCGTTTCCCTATAAATAGTTCAATCCAGTTGATAGGTGTTTTTGTGCCTGGCTGAATTTGAAGTTTTAATGCTTATTAGAAGTACTGTCACCAGATACTTTCCAGCTGTTAGAAGTATTGTTCTAAAGACAAACCCCTACTATTGCCTACAAGTGTTCTCACCAGCTACATAATTTGAAGCACAGAACCAGGCAAGATGGAACAATTTACGGGTTGGTATTAAGAAGCCCCATTATTGCTACTGCACATAATGTTGCAATTACTTGGCTGAAGTTTAACTAAAGTAATGCTAAGCCAGCGTGAACTCGATAAATATAACCATGTTCAGCAGCATATCACACGCTGGAAATATTAAGTGCTATCCATTACTTTAGGATGAAATCTCAGCACTTTCACTGTAAAAGTCTGATACACTTCTGAAAAATACTGTGTTACAAGATGAGTACTTTATAGTCACAGCTTTAAAGCATATAGGCATCAACTAGAACAGTACACAGTATGTTAACTTTTAGCACACATCAGCGTCAATAAGGCCACCTGAGAGATCTTAACTTCAAGGTCTAATACTTAGATGTCCCTTTTATTACTGTAACAAGCACACAGCAGTAACATGTTCAAAGCATGTCCCCCACCACAGATAGATCAACTGTCCATCTGGTAGCATAGACATATTTAACACTGCCAAGTACTTGGGACAGCTCCCCAGATAGCTATAGTTGCACTAAGTACACCTGGTATTCTGTAATCGATGGAAATGAACGCCTCCAAAAAGTTCACAAAAGATCACCCCTCCTGTCTTATCCCCGTGCACACCATCCCTGCTGGGACTCCTAAACTGAAAAATTTTAAAGTATTTTTTTCAGACATAAACAGTTGCACAAGAACTAGCGCATTTCTGCTTTGTTCAGCACATGTTACTACTAATGTTCACACTTCAAATTATCTTTTAAACCGGCTGCATTCACACTGCCCAAGAGCTGACCCAAGTCGCAATGTATTTTAATACCAGAAAAGAAAAATAAGTTCCCCAGCAGAAACGTTTACCTTCAGGTTGATAAACACTATGGTATTTATGGCAACTACTACAAACCGCCCTAACCAACACAAAACCTGGATGTTAAATTTACGGACACCACTGAAACCCCTGGACAGACAGGCAACAAACTGATTCTCACCAGTTGGCAGTAGAAAAGCTGCAACTTTTATGGACTTTTTGTCTAAGAACTTACAGCATTTTCAATTGCAAGTGGCATTACATGGCTACACATTACATCGGCTACATAGTAACATCCCCATTATAAAACAATACCTTGCTCTATTTTCTACTAAGAAACTTCAAGCAGAGGCACGCAGCAAAGGAAGCCTCTCTCTCCCTTCTCAAATTCAGGAGTAAATACACACCGGACAAAGAGGTCCTCTAGAGCATTAATACTTCAGCAACTTCTTTGATTTCTCAATTCCGTATCAGGCCAGTGCTCCAACACGAGGGTGGTTTCTAAGGCTGACTTCAAGCAATGCTTCTGACTCGCTTACAAATGCAAGCTTATATTTAGATGGCTCAGCATCTGATGCTGTCATTCTGCCTGCCCGCTCCCCAGATATGACCAGGCCACCTCAGGCACTGTCCTCACCACCCCGGCACAGAACAAACACCATGTACATGCCGGTGAGTCTAACCTCAGAAACCAGTAGCCCATAAAGCAAACCCCTGTTGCAGCTGCTCCCTTTCGCCCCGGGGACACTCTGCATAAAACAGGCCCTGTTTACTCTTGTCTGAGATGCTCCAAGGGACTAACACAGCACCGGCAACCAGAATCACAGGAGCCCACGTGAGGAGACGCGAGTGACAAGAGCAGTCGCGTGTCCGTGTTTCTGCCTCTGTGTGTGGGGGGCCGGGTGTCACTGCCCTGGGGCCTGCCCTGTGCCTAGGGAGCTGACGCTGGAAGCGGGTGTCCGCCTGTCCCCTACTGAGAGGGGGAAAGTGGCCACAGGGACGCCGGGAGAGGGAGGGGGATGACACACGGGGATGCCGCAGCCGCGGGACCCCTCTCCCGGACCGGCTTGGGGGTGAGGGGATGCTCTGTCTGCAGCCCGCGACCCCTCGTGCCCCCGCAGCAGGGTGGATGGCACCTCTTCCCGGCTCGGGCGGGGAGGCCCCGGCCCCGGCCCCGGCCCCGGGCACGGCTGCGGCCTGCCCGTGAGTCAGCAGCGGCGCGCTGGGCGGC